ATACACATAAAATAAAAATAATAATAAAAACTAAGGTGTTGTGCAATAAAGGAATACACCCAGGCCAGCCTCTTGACTCCACATGCACAAACATAGGTGAGTGTACCCATACACACATGTGCATACACCCAAAGTTTAAAATTTTTGCACAGTTAAATATCTTATAAGGATGGGAAGACAAGCTAGAGACTGAGATAAAATATTGACAAGGACTGAGATATATATAAAATGTGTAAATAACTCTTGAAAGAAAGCAAGTGGGGGCTGGAGAGATGGCTCAGCAGTTAAGAGCACTGATTCCTCTTTAAAGACCCAGGTTCAATTCTCAGCACCCACATGGTGCCTAATAACCAGCATAACTCCAGTTCCAGGAAATCTGACACCCTCTTCTAGCCTCTGGCATTGCATGACATGGGTGCACTTACACACACGCAGGCGAAACACTCATATACATGAAATAATAAATAACTTTTGAAAAATTAAAAAAGAAAGCATTAAAATATTTAGGCCAAGCAGTGGTGGTGCATGTCTGTAATCCTGGCTACTCGGGAGGCTAAAAGAGAAGGATCTCAAGTTCCAGGCCAGCCTGGGCTACATAGTAAGACAGTCTTTAAAAAAAACCACTGGGGCTGGCAAGGTGTCTCAGGCAAAAAGAGGTACCTGCCGCCAAGCCTGAAGACTGAGTTCAATCTTCAGAAACCACTCGATGGACCAACTCCTCAAGATATCCCCTGACCTCCACGAGGGTGCACACCCCCACATACACAGAATAAATAAATAAATAAATAAATAAATATTTAAAAGCAACTTCAATTCAAAAATAATAAACATGAAACATGTTTCATCAGATGATACACATATGGGCATGAAATATCAAAATATGTTTGATATCATTAGACATTTAGGAAACTCAAAATCACACAGTTATTAGAACATCTGAAACAAAAAAATGAAATAATGATAATATTTAAAGAAACGCTCATTCTTTGCTGGTGGGAAGGTGAGACGATCTCACTATGCTGGAAAGTTAGCGGTTTCTCAGAAACTCAGCACACATTCATTATTCGACTCAGCTGTGGTGGTATATGTCCTAGGGAAACAAAACCGGATTGGCACATTAAAAACTATATATAACTGTTGATAACAGGGACATTTTGACTTTTAGCCAAGAAACTGGCTACTTTTCTTTAGGGTCTTTTTATCCTAACTACCTAGACAATTCTTACCTCCTATTCTTATCACACCATCCTCTGAAGGGGTTACCCAAATTGCCAATAGGGAATAGGGACGCAAACCACTCTGGCTTCTTCCATGATGAACGGGGACGCAGGGTGAGGCAAATGGAGTACCCCTTCAGTGGTCTATCTAAAAGACTCCCAAATTGCATAACTCTTGTCTCTAAGGGGAAAAGAAAGTCCTTGAATCATGACTAGGAGATGT